AAAAAAAAAAAAAAAAAAAAAAAAAAAAAAAAAAAGAAATATATATTTCTAATAATTGGCTTACATGAGATTACCAAATTCAACAAACATCCCTGCAACTTAAAATGGACAATAAAAATGCAAGATGATTTATGATTTTTTCTCATCATAAAATCCAGTTTATTCTATGAGATATTTTTCATAAATATAGCTTCCAGATTTAAAACATTTATAAGTTAATAAATAAAACTTACATTGAGAGCAATCAGGATGATGTCATTTATATTGACTTTGTCAGGAGAACTTGTGCATGCTTCAATGCCTTCATCTGAAAGATACCTGTTAAAATAAAATAAATGGCTTAATATTTTCTAAAATCAAAATTAACCAAAATTATTTTCTTAAGTCTACATGCAATTTTGTTCTCTACTATAAAATGCTTCCACTACAAACACTAGGCAAAAAGCATCCTGGATACTCCCTGTTTATTTACTATCTGATAGAACAGGATAGACAATGCGTATTTTTCTTCTTTTATATCTTTAAAGGGATACTGTGTTAATAAAAGTAACCATATGTTTTCTGAGAAAAGCTTTTTAACCATCAATATACTTCTTAAGGAATGAATGAGCTCCTCTTTACTATTATACAAATACAATATCTGACTTAAATATTCAGTAATACAGTAAACTTAAGAGACTGAGATGTGCTATAAAAATAGAACCAAAAACAACATAGATTTAAATATAGTCCAACAAACTTTCTGCTGGGCTACTTTCTCACATTATCTTCTCAAGTCCCCTTTCTCTAACATAATGTTCCCAAGAATCTTTCAATAAATACTATTGACTCCAAATAGCACAAAGATAGGCAACTTTTTACCTTACATCTTTCACTTTTCCTGTCTTTTTTCACTTCTTTTTTTACTCATTGTCTTATTCCCCTTTGTTATTTTTTATTCAGTCCAAACCAACCATACATCTGCAGCAGACAATAATTAATTCAAGAGTAAAAAGATTATTGAATCCAAAGGGGGGGGAATCATCTCTATCAATTCACCCACACCCAATACAGTCATTTTGAAATTCTTTGATAAATTCTACAATTCAGATATCATCCCCCCAAAAGTCCACCTGTAAAAATGCCCATTAACATTCAGCATCTTTTGTAATCAGTATCAGATACTCCTTTAACCAAAGGTCTGATGCTAGCATTGCCACTGTAGACATTCTCCCACTAAAAAGATGCCACTACTGGGCATATACCCTGAGAAAACCATAATTCAAAAAGATACATGTACCCCAATGTTCCTTGCAGCACTACTTACAATAGCCAGAACACAGAATCAACCTAAATGTCCATAGACAGATGAATGGATGAAAAAGATGTGGTACATATATATACAATGGAATATTACTCAGCCATAAAAAGGAACGAAATTACGTCATCTGTAGTGATGTGGATGGACCTAGAGTCTGTCATACAGAGTGAAGGAAGTCAGGAAGAAAAAAAGCAAATACCGTACATTAACGCATAGATATGGAATCTAGAAAAATGGTACTGATGAACCTAGTGGCGGGGCAGGAACAGAGACACAGTCTTAGAGACAGACTTGTGGACACAGGTGGGTAAGGGGAGGGTGAGATGAACTCAGAGAGTAACACTGACATATATACACTACCATGTGTAAAACAGATAGCTAGTGGGAAGCTGCTGTATAGCACAGGGAGATCAGCTCCGTACTTTGTGATGACCTAGAGGGGTGGGATGGGGAGGGTGGGAGGGAGGCCCAAGAAGGAGGGGATATAGGCATACATATAGCTGACTCACTTTGTTGTACAAGAGAAACTAACACAACACTGGAAAGCAATTATAATCTAATAAAGATGAAAAGAAAAAAAGATACAGGAGTACTAGTCTGACAGAGCTAACTCCAGCTCTTCCTGATGGCCAGCAATTCCACCATCAACCCCCAACTTTAGGCTGATTCTAAGACACTTGTCAATGTAAACTTTACCTGAAGACAGCAACCAAAGAGCATATACCTTTAAGAAACATAGGATGAATGATTTCTCAAAAGTAAAAGGGCAAGTGAAAAGAAATGTGAATAGGAGAGTACAAAAAGCAATAGAAAATTAAAGCTGATAAACCTATGCATAAGGTCAAGGAGGTAAAAGAAAGGAATGTGTCTATAAATCAAAGCAAGAATGTGTTAAAAGAAGTTAGATACTATTAAAAGTTGAAGACCATGGCAGTGCTAAACTACAATGATGAATGAAGGCAAGGAGTTAAGTAGGCTACAGAGAAAAACAGAAGTGTTAAGTATGTAGATGAGTCAGTAAGAATGAATGGAAGGGAGGCAGGAATAAATAGTACATGAGTGACCATGGAATACAATGTTTGCAGTCAGCATAGATGGCTAAAACACTGCTTTAATTCAGAATGGCTAAGTTCATTTCCTTACTACCCCAATAATTTTTCACCATTCATAGCCATTGACTGTATCCGGCACTAACCATCTTACAAACTCAGTTCTACAAATATTAATTAACTCCCCCTTTATGTGAAAAGCACTATGTGAATCAGTAATAAGATCAGTAAAATGATGAAAAATAAACATCTTTCTTCAAGGAGTTTACAGTCTCACATAAAGAATAACACAACATATAAAAAACTATCATACAATGCCAAAATAACTATAAACAAAATGTTATGGGGGCTCAAAGTGGCTGCGGAATGGAAAAGAGTGCACAGAAAGGGAATAGTATGACCAACAACGTGGAAGTAAAAAAGTATAAAGCACATTCTAGAGGTAATAACTTGGAACGTTACGGCTGGAAAATGGGGAAGAGATGAGAAGTCAGTATAGGTTGAGACGAATTTTATTTACTGTAGGAAGCAACAGTGCATAGAGGGATATGGGTGCTGTATTAAATGTTGACTGAGTAATTACAAAAACACAACTTTCAAAATTCCTACAGTGGGGAAATAATATGCAATGACTAATAAAATACTTTTGTTTTCTAGAAAGGCAACTCTTTAGAATTAAAAGATTATATAGGATGTCACGTGAACTGGAAATGATCTTAAAACATAATCAAAGTTTAACTCTTCAATTTTACAGATGAAGAACGCCCAAAGATGTTAACCTAAACTTGCCCCAAAATACAAACTTAAGCTATGAAAAGTTAAAACAAAAATGCCTCCTGATTCCCAGCTTAGCAGTTTTTTCATTACAACACACTATTTTTATTTATCAACAACTAATGCTAATATCAGAAATATGATTTTTTTCTCATAAACAAAAGTCAACATCTATACAAATCAATTTTTTAATCAAGTAGACACTTTACCAACACACACAAAAAAGCACAACTAGGTAAATTCAATCAGTGTCTCCAAAGTATATTAAGTAAGAATAGGCCTAGTTTCATAGTAAAAGATCAGGGAACTAATATTAACTATGATTAAGAGATTCAAAAATTGTTACAACAATAAAGATACCTATCCTGCAAAACAGAAAAAGGAAACATCTATCTAACAAAAATTCTGAAGGCAGAAGAGATAAGGGAGTGTAAATTTGACTTCATCCATGTATAAATCAAATATCATGTGATTTCTTCCAAACAATGCCTGGAGAAGGCTTCCTGAATATAAGAAACTATAAAATATGGCTCAGTCTCAATTTCCAAGTTTTACAAGTCTCCCTTCCTCACCCTTCACATTAAAAAAAAAAAAAAAATCAAAGGACTTGAGCCTCACAGCTTTACTTTGTAATTATCAAGAAACAGGAGACCCATTCACAGGTCTCCCCAGTAACATCTTGGTGATCCTTCTGTCAATACTGGACCATTTTCACAGGACTAAATCTAAATTAACTGTAACTTGAGATTTACAAATTAATCTTTCTGTTTTTGTAAACATTTAAGACTCCAATATCATCAATGAATAAAAAATGTGATAAAACTAAGCTATTATGTCCAAATCAGCTTCAAGATGCACCACAGGAACACAGCAACTGAAAGAACAAAACAACACACAATTCACCAGCCTTAATGTGGTCACTGGGAAAAAAAGGAATTGAAAATTGGCACAGGTGTGTCAGATCTGATCCCTGTGCACATCTGCACGATGGACCTCAAGGGAAGTGAGTCATAATCAGTTCCCATGTGCCGTCTTTGAGCATGCAAACCCAAGGGCATGGGCCTTAAAGAAGAAACAAACCCCCGAGAGCTCTTGTTGACTACAACAGCCCCCAAAAGCACACACTTTTTTTTCTCCTCTGGTGGAGATTTGAGAACAGTAACATTATAAAACCACTCATTACTATTCTGAACTAAAAATACATCGGAATACACTTTATTGACAAGCAAGCCACTAAAGGGCTAAATTTCTACATGATACTCACAGAATAGACTAATATTTTTCCTTAATTTTACCTTCAATAATTCCATTTTAAATCACAGTTTAATAAACACTCAAATTTTTTTAAAAGATTTTGGAAAGTGCTTCTTATTTTCATAAATAAATGTTAAAATTCTGACTTTCTCAGAGTCATTTAATTTTAATCCTGAGCAAGTAAGAAGTAAAAGCTTTAAAATTAATTGCTATCCACCAATTTGGGGGAGAGGTGGTTTCCTATTACAAATAATGAAAATATATTTAATAAGAAGGGTCTCACTGCTAAAACCATCTTTATTTACCTCATGTTCTAAAGTTACCTGGGCATAAAAAACAGACATTCTCAAACTACAGTTCAACAATCTCAACTGACAGAAAACTGTGATAAAAACAAATACTATTGTTTCAATATCACTTGTTAGATCCAGACAGTGGATCGCCATTACCAGTAAGTGGATTCCTAACTGCAAGGGAAAAGAGTGCCAATTTTCCTTTGATCCATTCCTCTGGAAGTAGGTAAAATCCTTGAGTCTAACTTAACTACTGACTATGATGTACACATAATGAGGGGGCAGCTCCAGTGACTATCTGTATGAGGATAGGTTAAGCAGCCATTGTCAGATCTTCTCATTTTTAGCTTTAGTTTTTTGCAAAGCAATGTACAAGCCAAACAAAACAGGCTTCAGTCTGCATGTGGCACACACACTTTGTACGTATTAATCGTATTAGTTTATTTCAGTTATCTGTTTGTTTGCTCTTATACACTTTCAACTTGTCTTTGACATGCAGGGTTGTGCCATAAGTGTCTCTCAAATGATATAATATCCATGGCTGACATCCTTTTCAAGCAAAAGAGGAAAAGAACTGTCTTTTAGGTCACTCTGTATGACTCCTGGACAGCAATAAACATATTTATGCATGTAAATAGTGT